TACATATATATATATGTATATTTATATAAATACCCCACAATGATTTTTTTTTGGGACTTTTAATCAATTGCATACAGAAATCTGAAATCGACGCTCTTTCAGATGAAGGGACAGTGCCCGAGAAATGTGTGGGACGTATTGAGTTCAAAGATGTTGATTTTAGGTATGGGACTATTTCGGGGTGTACTTTGGGGGTTGAGAGGTTTTTTTTGTTGGTGACCTGAGCCTGAAAAATGGTTCCATTTCGTTTTGTGCCTTCAAATCATTCTCTAAGGAAGCGAAGGGGTTTCAAATGTTTATGCACATGTCCATCAACAGGTATAATGATATTGCACCACTGGTCATAAGAAACCTGACCTTAGACTTCGCACCAGGCAAGAGTATGGCATTGGTAGGCTTCAGTGGCTCAGGTACAGCCTTGTGCACCATATTGGTTTTTAATTTTTCAATACGTAGCGATCTTACTGCCACTTTGTGAGGATGCGAGCGGCGTAATCGTGTCCAAATATGCGAATCTATACAAGAAGGCAAACACTGTCTCTGCGCCGGTTTCTCCCTCGGCTCAAGCCTGTTCTCTGTTTGTATTAATCCTATAGGCAAATCCACAACCATCACCTTGCTGGAACGGTTCTACGATGTGAGCGCGGGAACTATTGACCTGGATGGCTCGGACATTCGTAGTTTGAATATTCAATGGTTGAGAAACCAAATTGGATACGTAGGCCAGGAACCGGTGTTGTTCGGTGGTACGATTCGCGACAATATTGCGGCGGGCGCGCCCCTCGTGGCCAATCCTGATTTTATTAGCGACATGCCGTATGATGTATTTACTAACCCACGATTCGTAAGAAGGTACCCATTTTCTTTTGTGTTTTTTGTTCTCCTTCGTCGTATTTGTCAGCTGTTTTGTAGTGGCTGTGTGTCTGTGTGGATGGCTGCGGAGGAATGCAAGCACAATGTGCTGTGCTCTTGTGTCTCAAAACGACGCAGAGGCACTCATGGCGCACTTCACGATTGCGGGGTTGATTGATAAGGCCACTAGTGTACCCGTACTCCCTCGGCTGTATGTTTGCTATGTTTGTTCTAATCTACGCCCATTCCCCTTGTTTCTTCGAATTAATCGTTCAACCCAATTCCTTAGCGAGTTCTCGCTGCTCATTGTCCTAGAGATGTTTTCTCTCGCAGCCCACAGTCGGTATTCATCCTCCTCCCTTTATTCAATCTCCTCATTTTATTCAATCTCCTTATTCTATTCAATTTTCTCATTTCTATCGTCTTCGAACAGCGAGGTCTCCCAAGAGAAGATCGAGGAAGCTGCTGAGATGGCTAACGCACACAACTTCATCACCAATCTGCCAGACAGCTACAACACGCTCATCAGTGAAGGGGGAGGTATGGCTACGAACGAATGCATATGCAACCACTTGTTAGTTACTAACAAATGGTCAGACATTTGTTATTGTCAAGTGGTTGTATTCGTGTTGTATGCTTATATCATACCTAGTGCATCAATGCTTGTGATCGCACAAACAAATGTATCCCGTGAACGACAACTGTACAGTATCGGTTACTTCATCTCTTCTTGGATTATCTGACATAGATATACTGGTCGTAGTTCTTTTGGGGGCCGCTTGACACTTGCCACGATTGAAAGCTAGTTAAAATAAGCAAGGCTGATTTCATTGCCTCGATTTCATTGCATGGGTCCTGTGCCTGCAGGTATGCTGAGTGGAGGGCAGAAGCAGAGGATTGCCATTGCACGGGCCTTGCTGCGCGATCCCAAGATACTGCTGCTGGATGAGGCCACATCTGCACTGGACGTCGAAAGTGAAACGATCGTCCAGGCAGCTATGGACAAGGCGAGGTGAGTCATTGAACTGTGGGCATATGGGAATGCAGGAAGAATATCTTCACACAAACGGTGGAGTGTACTCTGGTTGCGCCAGTGGATCACTCGACGTTTGGGTGTGCAGCTCAAACGTTGCCAGTCCTAGCATCTATCGCGATGGAGCTTACGAATATTCGAGGCAGACAGGCACGTAGATCCCACGAGTACTTTGAACAGAGATCGTTTTATTCAACGAACCGTTAGAGCACTGACCCATGCATATCGATAAATGGGACTCTATCGGATATTCAAATGAAGCTGTTTGCTGTCGCTCAGCTTTTCAGGCAATATCCCCCACCTATCTCTGTCTTACCGCAATGAAAACCGACCCCGTGTGCACCGTTCAATAGCATACAAACTTCACATCACACACCCCATCCTTTCACAGCAACGGTTGGTGTCAATCGCTTGTTAACACGCCCAGCCTCATTGCACCTCCACAGTGCCGGACGCACCACCATCGTCATCGCCCACCGACTGTCGACTGTGCGAAACGCAGATGTGATCTCGTTCATGAGCGAAGGCGAAGTTATTGAGAAGGGCTCGCACGACGAATTGGTCGCCTTGGGCGGCGCTTATGCTGAATTCGTCGCCATCCAAATGGGCAGTGACAATCCCCCGGTCGTGGCGCCATCCCCGCGTCTGAGCGCGGTATGTCGCGACGCTCGTGTGTCTCTTATGATATGGCTAACGCAATGGTGTGTATGGTCTGTATATAGGGCAATCGCGGGATACGATATATCTGATGCACTCGACTGCCGACCGAGTGTATCTCCACTCGTGCCCTTGTGTATATTCATTCGCTCGATAGGTGCGGTCAAGGGCCCTTGCCTGTGTGAGACTTAGGATTGAACAGTTACGTATTTGTGATTTAACAGTATATTTGTATCGTAACAGGCCGAGGTTTATGACGGCAAAGATGATGAAACACTGGGTGCGGATGACCTAGGATTCGGCGAACTCAAACTGGGCGAGGACACTAACCCCACGACGGAGGATATAATAGAATCCATCATACAAGAAAACACCGAGCAGCTAGCCCAGATCAATGCCACGGTAGGTAACTTCGGAGAGAGCTGCCGTTGTGTTGTTGTCTACACTGTACTGGATAGTACCTTGCATTGCGTAGGGGTTCTTGTTCTTTCCTTCCCAGACCATTCGTAGTTCGTAGTCGTGGATCTTTCCAAGAAAATCTGTTGCGATCAAGGCAAAGTGAACTGCATTTTCGCGTGACGCGTGTGGACTTAGCTTGCGTCGGTACACTCGATTGTATCTGAACACAGTCGAGGTCACCAGGTATTCATTTGTGTGCCCTGTTCTCGTACCAACTGTACGTTGCTTATAGCACCCTGTGCTCGCCATTGAATAAGTAGGTATCCTTGCAACTGCACATTTCTAAAGTTAAGAGCGTCGTTCATACCACCCTCTTTCACAACTTGTAGCTGCAGCACCCCTCACCTCACCTCACCTCGCCCCTCGTCTGTAACGCTTCTTCACCACAGCACAAGGATGAGGTGGACGACCACATCTTCACACAGACCATTGCTCTGAATAAGCCCGAGTTGCCAGCCGTGCTGCTGGGAACGTTCATGGCCCTTGTGTCGGGGGTGCTATGGCCCATCTTTGCCTACTGTTTCGGATCAATGCTGTTTGTCTTGATCACGTGTAAGTGTTTCTCTTGGTCACGCGTAAGTGGTTGATGTGGCGTGTGGTACTGTACCGAACTGTGATAGTTTTGTCACGGTTACCGAATAGTACAAAGCGAGAACGGCGAGTGCGTCACATTTCCGATGAATTGCGCACCATTTCTTAATTCGATGGTCTATTCTGACAGCCGTCACCGGTAGTTAGTGCAAGAACATAAACTTTGCTAGTATTAAGAACCAACAGCAGCAGTGATTAATGAGCGCTTCGCATATTGCCACACCTCACATACCACATACCACAGTGGACTTCGATAAGGCGATGAAGTGGATCATCATCTTCTTCTCCTTGGGAGCCACGGCTCTGGTCTCCAACACCAGCATGTACTGGGCATTTGGGTACGCTAAGGAGAAGCTCACCCGTAGACTCAGAGTGCAAACGTTCCGATCGCTGATGCGGCAGGACATCGGCTTCTTCGACTTTGAGGCGAATCGAACCAGCGCGCTGACTGTGTACTTGTCAACCGATGCCTCTGCTGTGAGTGGTATGTACTACTTTGTCCCGGGACAGACGGGTTTATCGTCTTAGTTCCACGCGCGACGTGCACTGTGTGATGCGTAGGTATATTCAAACAAAAATGAGTTATTGAGAGGCGTGGGTTGGGCTAGAGTAGTTCAGCAGTTGTGGGCTTTAGAGTGTGTTTGCAGCTACACCCCCTACGGAATCGGGTGGCATATTGCCATATCTACTATGGCTACCGGTGTTATACTAGACAGTCGCTGATACACAACAGTATCATCTGCTGGCAGCAGTAGCGCACTACAAAGGTGATGTCGTATTGCGTATGTGATGTCTCCGCACTTCGCCATGACAGGTCACATCTCACCTACACGTACAATATGGACACTCGGCATTTACGCAGTTGGTTATAGCGTTCTACTTTGTCCTCTGAGCATCCGTCTTCACGTTCACGATGTGAGCGGGTGCCTCGCTTCAACGCACTCGTAGACGTATCTGCGTACGACACCTGCCTTACACGCACCTCGTCAACCTCACACATCACCCCGTCTCAACCACCCGTACACTCGCGCGCAGGCATGACCGGAGATTCACTGCTGATGCAGACCACACTGTCGGCGACTGTGCTGTGCACTATCATGATTGGCTTGTTCGCCTGCTGGCCCCTGGCCCTTGTGATGATGATGTCGTTCGTGTTCTCCGGTTTGGTGGCCATGGGTGGCGCGTGGATATCGGAACGGGTAATGTGGTAGTGCTGGGCGGTCTACCCTCCTATGTATCTCAAATGTGTTTCTAGTGTCTTTTGAGTTCTGCTTTTCTACAGTAGTTGTTTTGAGTTCGACTTTTCTACAATAGTTGTTTTGAGTTCTACTTTCTTACAATAGTATTTCTGGGTGTTGCTTAGCTAGCGTGCATGTAGCTTTAGCTCGTGAGCCCGTGTCGTCCTCGCTGCCACACAGTATCACTGACATGTTGAACCCAAATCGTCTGTGCAGATCACCCGGAAGGCGAGTAAGTCCCTCATCGACGGCACCACCATGGTCAGTGAATATTTGCAATCCGTACGAACGGTCACCTACTTGGGTGTGAGTGGAGATATTCTGCAGAGATACAACACGCATTTGAATACGCCAGAGAAAGGCCTGTTCCGTGCGTCGATAGTGTCTGGCTTCTCCTTTGGAGTGGCGATGCTGATCATTCTGGCCGTGTGGGGGTTCAGTTTCTGGTGGGGTGTCGAACTCATCGCTCAACTAGACCGTAAGTCTTGTGATGCTCAGGCCTGAGTATTGTTTGCAGGGTGGCCATATGGACTCTGAATCAACGTCTGTTCAAAAAAGAAAAAGGAAGAAGTCTCTGTGGGCGGGGCTATCAATGATTGTTGTATTGTGGTTTTTAGAACAAATCCGCAATCAGCCCAAATGTTTATCCGACAGATTAATTCGAGCTTACTATTCATGTTTCCAATCTTTGCGACGATAATTTTATGTGTGCATTGCGTATTACTGATCGCACTAAATCACTGACAGCCGCAAATAGATTGGTATCGATAGTATTCATTTGGCTATTTTGATCAGTCCAGCGCTTGGGATAGTTTCTTCCGTGAGCCTGCGTCTACCAAAACGGCCAGCCTCTATACACCCCTCCCTCTCATCGCGTAGAGGCATTATTGTTTTGGTACTCAAAAAGTTGAAGTAAGGGATGAGCCGTTACACATGCATTGTCTATCATAGTCACTTTCTTTTAACCTGGTCTGCTTCTAACCAACGCAGAGTGTAATGTGGAGGGGATGATTACTACCTTCTCTGCAGTTGTGTTCGGTGGCATGGGTATGGCGTCCGCATTCGGTCTACTGCCCGACGTCAAAGCCGCTAAGGTAAGTGCGATGCCTATTGTATATGCGTGCTTTAATAGTGTATCATGTAGGCATACTTGAGAGTGGTTGTACGATGCCTATTGTATATGCGTGCTTTATTATGTATATTATGCAGGCATGCTTGAGAGTGGTTGTACGATGCCTATTGTATATGCGTGCTTTATTATGTATATTATGCAGGCATGCTTGAGAGTGGTTGTACTTCGATGCAAACAGGGCGTTTTCGATGCGCTATAGACCTTACTCCGAATTGATTCGATCACACACACGATTGACTACCTTCCGTATATTTCTGCCTGTGGAACGCAAGAATATCTTCATTGGCGAATATCTGGTATGTACACGCCCCTTTTAATATCCATGTTTTCCTATCATAGGTTGGTGCTACGCGACTATACCGGCTTATCAATAGAGAGCCATTGATAAATTCGGATTCCAAAGAGGGTGTGCGTTTCTCAAAGAATCTGCTGGGTGTTGAGAAAGCGGATATTCCTGACTCCGACACAGAAGAAGTGGCTTCGAAATGTATGTCGTATGATTCAGTATATACACAGCCCACAGGTTGCACATTGCTTATTGTCAGCCTTGAGGGGGTATTGTTCAGGCCCAGCTCTCCATAGTCAGTGTTTTACTAATATCTTTTTGAATGTTCACCCAACTATTCGCGATCTCTATATATATATATAAGTATATATGTAAATATATATA